TTTTTCGAGGCAAGGTTTCTCTGTGGTTTTGGAGCCTGTCCTGGAACTAGCTCTGTAGACCAGGCTGGTCTCGAACTCACAGAGATCCGCCTGCCTCTGCCTCCCGAGTGCTGGGATTACAGGCGTGCGCCACCACCGCCCGGCGAGTAAAGAGATTTTCTACTATTACTTAGAAAACTGTATGGACCCCCAAGCACACATTTCCATGGATCAAATGAAGTCCATTATATACTGATTCCATCCCTTTACTTGTGGGAGGTGGCTTAAATTAATATTTAGGTGAAAAAAAAAAACAAAAAAAAAACAGGGCTGGAGAAATAACTCAGTGGTTAAGAGCACTGCCTGCTCTTTCAGAGGACCCAGGTTCAATTTCCAGCACTCACATGGCAGCTCAAAACTGTAACTCCAGTTCTAAGGGATCTGAGACCCTCACACAGACATAAATGCAGGCATCAATGTACAGTGTACAAAATGAAAACCAGTGCATCGAAAAAAGATCATTGCACAAAATGAAAATAAACAAATCATTTCAAGATCCAGGATTAACTCGTCTGACTTTTTTTTTTTTCCAGACAGGGTGTATTAGTTAGGGACCTCTAGAGAAATAGTTCTCAACCATTGTTAAAGGCCGTGAGCCCTTTGACAAACCTTTGTCTCCCAAAATACTTACATTCATAACAGTAGCAACAAAAAAAAATTATACCACAGCATGAGGAACTGTATTAAAAGGTCACAGCATTAGGAAGGTTGAGAACCACTGCTCTAGAGGAATAGAACATTCATTACAGAATGAATAGGTTTTTTAGAATGGCTTACAGGCTGTTGTCCAGCTAGACTAGTAATGGCTGTCTACCAACAGAAGGTCCAAGAATCCAGTAGGTGTTCAGTCCACAAGGCTCTATGTCTCAGCTGGTCTTCAGCATGTACCAGTTCTCAAAAGAAATAGGTTCTAATGCCAGTGAAGGTGTGAGCATGTCAGTGAGAATGAGGGCAAGCTTCCTTCTTCCACATCCTTTATAACTGCCAGCAGAGGGTGTGACCCAGATTAAAAGGTGTATCTTCCCATTTGAAATGATTTAAGATCTCTCACAGGTGTGCCCAGACACTTGGGTTTTAGTTAATTCCAGATGTAGTCAAGTTGACAATCAAGAATAGTCATCACACAGGGTCTCATTATATTCCCTGGCTAGCCTGGAACTCACTGCCTTTCCAGGGTTGAGATTGAAAGCTGTGCCATCACACCAACCTCATTGGCTGTATTAAAGCCCCAGTTTTGGCCCTGGGATCAGGCTAAGTGTGTGGTTCACCAGGAAACAGGACAAGGAGACACAGTAGTAACTATATGGCTGGCTAATCCCTCCCTACTCTAAGCCACCTTCTCTTCTCTTCTTTGGGAACCCTAGAACTGCCTGATAAAGAGAGATGAAAATGGCTACTCTGCAGTGGTAGCTGACTTTGGCCTGGCTGAGAAGATTCCTGATGCTAGGTGAGTAACCCTACAGGGCATAGGCAGTGGTCACAACTAATGTAAGTCCAGCTTCTTTCCCAAAGGCCAGAACCTAGCCACAGCCCAAGTTCATTCCTTGACTGGACTCATCCAGGTCTATATCCAGCCTTGGGAGCAACAAAACCCAGTCAGAAGATCTGGTTGTCTAGTGAAGCATAGTGGTACACACCTGTAATCCCAGTACTTTCAAGGCAGAGGCAGGGGGATCACTGCAAGTTTGAGTTCAGTAAAGACTTTATAAGCCTCTGTTTCAACAAACAGTAAAGACTCAAGGGCTGGGATTACCGTAGTCCAGTTAGTATAGTGCTTGTTTGCCTCAAAAGCACAAAGCTTTGAGAAAATCCCACCACCACACAAACCAAGCATGGTGGTGCATGCCTGAAATCCTGGACGATCAATAGCTGGAAGTCATCTCCCATTACATACAATTCAAGCTATGTGAAACCTTGTTTTTTTTTGTTGTTGTTGTTGTTTTGTTTTGTTACTTCCCATTGTGCCAGTCACTGGCAAGCTTTCTTCTTTACTTCACAGTTTAGGGAGTGAGAAGCTGGCTGTGGTGGGCTCACCTTTCTGGATGGCACCTGAGGTTCTCCGAGATGAACCTTATAATGAGAAGGTAAGTCTGAAGATTTCAAGGCCTGATTATCCTTTGTGGCCCAGAAAAGGATCAGTATCCTGCCTACTAAATATAGGCCTAGCATCTCGTTGTTGTTAATGGAATACGGGTAATGTAGCCCAGACTAGGCTGTTAAGAGGTGGGGGAGTGGGGTAGGAAGATATCCCACTCCTTACTCGACTGAAAAACTGAGGTCTGACCACCTACCAGGCAGATGTGTTCTCTTACGGTATCATCCTCTGCGAGATCATCGCCCGCATCCAAGCTGATCCAGACTATCTTCCTCGCACAGAGGTGAGCTACTGGCATGTGACCAGCACCACAGGGATGGGGTTGGTTTGCTTATGAAGGTTTTATCCTTGGGGTGGAGTTGCTGGAACTACTCTGTAGCTACTTCTGAGGCAGTTCCTAGCCTCTTCTGAGTGGGCCAGGATTAGTGGGTGTGATTAATGACTTATCTATTAATGTCCCTTGTACACTTCTCCACTTTACTCATCCACAGAATTTCGGGCTGGATTATGATGCTTTCCAGCACATGGTGGGAGACTGTCCCCCAGAGTTTTTACAGCTCACCTTCAACTGCTGTAATGTGAGTGTCCTTCTTCACCTGGCTTTGGTCAGGTGCTGAGCCCTTTTCATTTGGTTAGGACTTAAAGGGAAAAGCTACAAATTAATCTCATAAGGAGCATGGCTTCATGCCTAGATGCGTAGCACCAACCATCTTTCCTACCTTGGCCTCCTGAGCACCCTGGACCAAAGAAAGAAGAAACTGCTTTGTATTTATTTTTCAGTACTCAGCTTGCAGGGTAGACCCTTGGCTGTGCCCTGAGTGCTGACCAAGCTTTGTCAGGTTTTATTTGTTGAACTATAGCAACAGCCACTAATGCAAGAGAAAACTTTAGTTACCCAACCTGAATCTTAAAAGATGCCAGGAATAGATTCAGATTTCATCTTTGGGGTGGGAAGCACAGTGCAGGGCTCATGGCTGGTACGGATGTATACAGATGGACCCCAAACTGCGCCCATCCTTTGAAGAGATTGGAAAGACCCTTGAGGAAATTATGAGCCGCCTACGGGAAGAAGAGTTGGAAAGGGACAGTAAGCTGCAGCCCCCGGTTAAAGGTAAGAGATCAGACCCTGAGATGTGAGACATTCCCCCAGGGGAAAGATCCTAGGTCCAGAAGTGGGAGGGGAGTGGGCATGGACAGTCAAGTAGTACGCAATCTTAGAGCTGTGACTTGGCACATAGCTTCCCTCTTTTCTCATTGATAAAATGGGGCAACTACATATCTCACTTTCCTCAAGAAAAGTGTAACACAGTCTGCTTACACTGAGAGTAACACAGCTTACTGTTCATCAGGACCGGTGGACAAAGTGCATGGAGGAAAGCGACTGAGCTCACTGGACGACAAGATTCCCCATAAGTCTCCACGGCCAAGACGTACTACTGGGCTGTCTCGAAGCCAGTCAGACATTTTCTCTCATAAGCCTCCACGTACAGTCAGCGTCTTGGACCCCTACTATCGGCCACGAGATGGTGCTACACATACCCCAAAAGTTAATCCTTTCAGCGCACGCCAGGACCTCAAGGGTGGCAAGATCAAATTCTTTGACCTGCCCAGCAAATCTGTCATTTCCCTCGTATTCGACCTGGACGCACCAGGGCCTGGAACTACGCCTCTGGCTGATTGTCAGGAGCCACTGGCCACGTCTTCCAGACGGTGGCGTTCTTTGCCTGGTTCACCCGAGTTCTTGCGTCATGCTTGCCCATTTGTGGGCTGTGAGGAATCACTATCTGATGTGCCTCCACCACGACTCAGTAGTCTCAAGTATGGAGTAAGAGAGATCCCACCATTCCGGGCATCCGCCCTACCGGCTGCTTCAGTCCATGAGGCCATGGATTGCTCCAACCCCCAAGAAGAAAACGGTTTTGGACCCAAGCCCAAGGGGACCAGCCCATGTGTTGACACTGCCTCTGAGGAGATGGAGGTGGAAGAAAGGCCACAAATGGCTCCTGTCCTCTTCTCCATCTCTGGAATAAACTTTCAAACCCAGGGAGAGCAGGATGGGTAAATGGGGGGAGGACTAGTCCCTACCTCACCTTAGGGATGGACCTTTACCTGAAACTGCTGGATCCCCTTGGTGCACAGCCAGGCTCTTCTCTGGAGCCCCAGGCAGGCTGAGAAAAGTCTGGCTTAAAAAATGGGCTTTTAGTGCTCAATGTAGTTAGGGCCAACCTAATTCTAAGCCTCTGAAATCCAGCAAGGAGCTCTGGCTCCCACTGACAGTCACGTCCTAGATAGGACCAAAGGACTCTAGTTCCAGGCTGAGCTGGCAGGCAGCTATGCAGCTATTATCCAGTTCCTTTTCCACCCTAGGTCTCTTGTGCCCATTCTGGGGCATATATGCTGCAGGATGGACACTGGAGTTAACTAGGAGGCTGAAAAGGGCATGGCTGTTTCTCAGACCTGACTGAAGACTGGGATGCTTCTTGCCAGTATGTCTAAGACACTTGAATAATTGCTGTTTGCACGTACTGTATGGTCAGACCACATCACTACATCTCTATGCAAGGGGGGACAAGGCAATGTGGTGGTCAAGGATATTTTAGCTAACCTATTCAAGACTTTTCCAGTTGATTAATCTATTTTCATATTTATAAAGGAGTCTTAATGTTTTGCCTCAAGACTTTCAACCTTGGTGTTGGGAGTGGGGCTGATTTGTAGGCCCCAGGGCCTGCTCTATGTATGTGTCAACAGGTGATACAAACAGAGGTTAATGTATTATACTTGGACTGATTTTCTCCCTGCTATAGCTGAAGCTTTGGGAACAGTCTGTCCTTACAGAGCCGCAATAAGAAATAACCAAAGAATGAAGTTGGTTAAATATTTTCATAATTCATTTCTGTTGATTTTTTTTTTTTGTAAAACTTTTCCCAAGACACTTTCAGATTAAAAAATAAAGTTGATGTTCCAGGTGCTAGTTAGTCTTATTTTGTACCCCAGGGTCAGGCCTCTGTACAAAAGAAAACAGTGAGGCGCTCATTGTCTCTGCCAGGACCTGCACAACAACTCCGTAGTACTTAAACGCAACATACACAGGCTAACAACTCAAATAACTTTTTCTTTTTTGAAACAGGGTTTTTCCATACAGCTCTGGCTGATTTGAGTAGGTCATGAACTGTAGCAGTCTTCCTGCCTCAGCCTTCAGGGTACTGGGATGCAGACATGAGCCACTACACAGAGCCAAACATCTCTTTCCTACTCTTAGCTTCTCTCCCTAGGTCTAGCGCCAGGCAGATGTTTGAGTCAGCTGCTGCCCCAAGCCAGCTTCATTTTCTGGTTGTGGGCTTTGGAAGAACGAGAAAACTGGCTCTTAGCCACTGTGAGTGGTACAGTTTTGCCGCTTAGATATACCTTATTGTGACATTCAGGAAGCCAAGGTCCAGAACTGCAGAGTTGAGGTCCGTGCCTCAGTCCCACATAGGCCATCACATAGCCTGTCATAAAGGCATCAAAACCAGCCCGATGCAATCCATCCCCAGGCACAGGATGAGGACTGGCTTGACTCACTGGCAGTTCTGAGGCAGCCACATCAGCTATTTCAGAACTTGTTGCCTTATGCTCCACCTCTAAGTCACTGTTGTGATCTTGCTTGGAGCCAAGCTGATCCCTAGATTCACCCTCTGTCACTTTTTGTTCAATTTCTGTCTTGAGGCTATCTTCACAGACCTGCTTTGTGGGAGGACCATCTTCAGTTTGATCCCTAGATTCACCCTCTGTCACTTTTTGCTCAATTTCTGTCTTTATGGGAGGACCATCTTCAGCTTGATCCCTAGATTCACCCTCTGTCACTTTTTGCTCAATTTCTGTCTTGAGGCTATCTTCACAGACCTGCTTAATGGGAGGACCATCTTCAGCTTCCTCAAAGGTCTCTGTCCCTAGCTGGCTCAGCAAAGCCCTTTTCCGTCTGTCCTTACGTCGCCGCCGTCGCCGTTTGTCCTCTGCCACAGCCTCATCAGTGTCAATGATAAGGTCAATATCATGTGACTGAGGACACTGAGGTCCTAGAGGGCACCAGCCATAGGCCTAGGGGTTGGAAAGAGGCTTAGAAGGGGTTCCATACATCAGAACCTCCCTTCCCCAAGAAACAGATGGATGTTCTCACCGAGAACTTGGTGCAGATGCCGGTGGTGTGAGAAAGGCGGGAGGTCACAGGAGACGCACAGCAGCGGTAGTCAATGTGGCCTCTCATGCTAGTTGGATAGCTGCAGAACTCCAGGGCAAGGTGTGGGCTGCCAGCTGCCCGCCGCTTCCCATTTTCCCGCTCACTGCAACAGCGCAAGAGGGTTTGCTCCACTAGCATATAAGCTCCACGAGAACAAGGGGGTTTGTGTTTTGTTCACTGCTGAATCCTCAGCACCTAAAAACAGTGCCTGGCATATGGTAGGTACTTGATAAATAATCTTAAGTGAATGAAATAGGTTCATACCAGGCCCCACCCCTTTCCCTCAACCGTGTCCTCACCATTTCCGGAAAGCATATTCTAAGTAGGAAGCTACAAAGCGGGCATGAAACTCTGCAGCATATTTGGTGTCATAAATGCCTGCTGGGAACATCTCACACAGGTCAGCAGTGAAGGTTCCCAAGTTCTCAGGCAAGTGTGCGTAGAAGTTCTGGTACAGGAACACCAGGTCTATAAGGCCATTATGTAGCACCAGGGGCCGACGGGCCCGAATCAGTTCAAGGAACAGGGTCCGTACTGACTGGCTCTGGCTTTCGTCTCCCTAGGTGGAAGGGAAGGGGTCAGTGGGAAGAACAGAATGCCCGCCCAGTCAGGCTCTCGTGCGGCACACCTGGGAAGTACTCCCTCATTTTCCAACCCAATGCTACCCTCCCTCGTACGTCTCATGTGTTCCCAGCCTTGTCACTAGTGACTCTCCATATTTACAAGCAGATGCCCCCTAGGCAGTCAGTCCATGGTAGCGAGAAATAAGCCACAGAGAACACAGACTCAAGGCAACAGAAGCTGGACCCCTACCTTGTCGTTGCCCTTATGGTAGGGGATACCCTGAGCATACTGCCGGTTGAAATTGAAGCCGTGCTGTACCAGGAACTGCACAGACTTTGGTTCTATGACATACTCCTCCATGCACAGTAAGGTGAGATTGAACACTTGGGTCAAGTAAGAATTTTCACCCTGAAAAACAAGGAGGATCTGTTCTGTCAAAAATTAGGAAGAAAACCTCCCAGCCTTCTCCAGCACCTCTGCTCTTCTGCCCCATGCCTCACATCTGGGGTGAGGGAAGCTCATACCTTATCTGGCTGCTGCTTGAAGCAGGCGAGGCCCAGGGACAGAACAGAACGGGTCCTGGCAGCATGACACACGGCCTTGTAACGTTCCTCGATGCACCTTAAGAGTTGGGTTTGGGCATGGCTGTGGCTGAGTTAGTTTCACAAAGGACCCAAACCACTGAGAGCTGGGATGCCCTAACCCTGGATTGAGATCTACACACTTGTTAAGGGTGTTAAACCTGGGGTTAAAGAAAAGGCTTATGCAGGGCGGTGGTGGCGCACGCCTTTAATCCCAGCACTTGGGAGGCAGAGGCGGATCTCTGTGAGTTCGAGGTGAGCCTGGTCTACAAGAACTAGTTCCAGGATAGGCTCCAAAGACACAGAGAAACCCTGTCTCGAAAAACCAAAAAATGAACAAGAAAAGGCTCATACTTACTGATTCAGCAAACTCTTCCGGTCCCCAAGCCCACTCAGCTCCTATGGATGGGTAAAGGACTGTGATTATCTCCCACACCCGTCAAACCCTTCACAGCCACCTGTCCTCCCTGTTTCCCAGACCTCACCGTGTCCACAGCCACAAAGCTCGCCGTATTAAGGGCCAGCAAGAGCGACGGCCATATCTCCTTGAAGTTGTCACTCTGTACATCCACCACAGGAACCTGTACCACAAACTCCTCTGCAGATTTTGTGTTTTTGTTGACATCACCTAGGGATAAGGGAAATGAATTGTCATGTTTCCACAAGGTCTCAGTGGATCAGACACCAAGCTAGATGTTGGAGAGGGGTTGCCCATTGACAAGTTTCTCCCTAGAGATTCTGCAACCTCCAACTCTATACACACGCTTTGGACAGTGCCCTAAACTTGGAAAGAGAGCATCTGGGTATTGCAGTGGCTTTTATGTGGGATTGGGAAATCATTTCCTTTTTTGCAACATACTCAGGAGACAAGTGTAGACAACCTTTGAGTATTCTTTCTCCTCCGAGCCTGTAATCTCAGGACAAGGAGCATAAAACTGAAGGGCCTTGAGTTTGAAGCCAGTCTGTGCTATAGAGCAAGATCCTGTCTCAAACACAGAGCCCATAAGGCTCCATACTCATGGTGCCTCAACAGATAGAAGAGTGCTTCAAAGTTAGACCTAAGCTCCACTTACCGTGGACGACTCCCCACTTCCCTGGTGTTACCGATTGACAACCACCGGCTCGAGCCAAACAGCACCTTCCCACACGCCCTCACTGCTCTACAATCTAACTTCACGGGCTTTAAAGTTGCACGCGCTGCACACTGGGACTTGTAGTCTCCTAGGACAGCGGGCGCTAGCAGAAGCTACAGGCCTGATCCTAGGACTACCGGCCCGAGGCTTATCCCTCCACAGGACCCCGGAGGCTTCTGTAGCTACCCCCTGAGAAGTCGCTCACCGTCAGAGGTCGCTGGAACCGAAGGCACACCGTCGTCACTGTCGGCGGCCATGATGCCGCGCGCCCAGCGCCAGCCTTCTGGAGGTACGCCGAGACTTCCGCTTCGTCTCCCGGAGAGACTCCGGCGCAGGATGGGGCGGGTCTCGCCGTCTAGGTCTCGTGGGGTCAACTTCCGTTCAGAGTGGCCGGACGGAGCGCGGACCTTGCGCGCGCCGAGTGCCTATTGGCTGTGCGTCCGGACTGGGCGAAGCCACGCCCCTTGGCGGGTTCTCCGGGGCTCTGGGCTGGAGACAGCGCGGGAGGTAATTTATTTTTCCGCACGCTCTGGCGGGAACTTGGAACTTTTAAGATACAAATCTTTTCATCTAATTGCCCAGGGCTGGCGTGGGCAGCGCAGGATTCCCGGGGGTGGAGGAGAGCACACCTCCTATGCTGAGCTAAACCATGCCTAGGAGCTCGGGAGAGATGGGCTCGCCTCACTTTGTAAAGGGTCTGAGCGTGGACGCCACCCCAGAAAGTTGGAGGAAGGTAGAGGCGGGAGGCGTTTTACCTGACGCGGGTAGATAGGTGGTAAAGCGACCAATCAGCAGGAACGCTTTTAAAATAATTCACACAGTGATAATGTGCACTTGGGTTAAGGCATTGATAGTAGGATATCAAGGAAAAGCCAACTTGTCCGAATTTGACCCCTGGCATAAGAGAGGTAGTAACGCTGTCGGAAACCAGTGCCTCCGCAGGGCGCGTTCACATCCTCCTCCTACCGGCCTGGATTTCCCTTCTCTGGAGGGAGTGTCTTTTTATCAGTTTGCAGCATTACCTCACCTCACTGAAAAAGGAAGCTCCTTTGAATCTTCCCCCATCCCATTAATTCATTTAACAAGTATGTATTGTGTATGGTAAATATATTTGGCACAGGCTCTAAAAAAATAATAGAGACCTCTCATAAGTTTGTGGAGGGTTTGGGTTTTTTGTTTTTTTTTTAAACTGGAGTCTGGCGGTGGTGGCGGCGCACCTGCGAAGCCTCGAAAAAACAACAGCAGCAAAGAAAGAGAGAGAGAGAGAGAGAGAGAGAGAGAAGGAAAGAAAAGGGTCTCTAGTAGTACGGACTGGCCTTGAACTCCTTTAAAACAAGGACAACAAAAGTCCTCAATCTCCACATCTGGAGTGCTGGGTTACTCGTGCTTAACACCACCCTTGTTTTGTTCAATGTTTTGTTTGGTTTTGGTTTTTGTTTTTCGAGACAGGGTTTCTCTGTAGCTTCGGAGCTTGTTCTGGAACTCCTCACCCTGCTCCATTGACCAGACTGTCCTTGAACTCACCCAGCCCCGCCTGCCTGCCACCCTAGTGCTGGGATTAAAGGTGTGCGTGCCAGAGTGAGTCATTTTTAGAAAACTGAAACGTTTGTGCTCTTTCCTAACTTCATACCCTTCACTTGTGTGATCTTTCCTCGTTATGCCAAGGGTTTCTTCTTTGAAATATCTTATGTAATTCATTATGTGTGTTGTTCTCTGTTAGATTATAAGCTCTCCTCTGGAAGAATCCTGTGTTTGCTGAGGTTTGAGGGTCTCTGCAGCCACCACAGCCAGCAGAGTATCATCTTCGGGAGGCAAGAAGGCAGTCAGGTTCAACACAACTAAGTAGCCAGTGCTGGCTTTAACTTCTGGAGTCTCACCCCAAATAGTTTATTTTAGACATATTTAAGCACAACACAGTTCGGTGAAAGATTTCCTGGTGATAGATGACTTAACCCTGTGTGCACAATAGAACTTAAGATGTGACTACATCAAAACCCTTTGTAAAGTACCTGTGAGATCTTCTATGACAATGGGTTCTATAGATTGACAAGCTCACAGTAAAGGTCTGGGGGAGGAGAGTTGTCAGGTAGAGCAGAGGTCATCGGCCTTCTAGGTGGGAAATAGGTAATCCATCTCTCACTCTGAAGAGACAACCTTGTGTGTCTACCATTCCTGGTTCCCCTATTGCTCATCTGTGATCACAAGGACCTCTGTCGTACCCACAGTGAGGTAAACTGTTTGGCACACAATAGGCAATTCTAAAAACATTTGTTAAGGGATTGATGGTAAGCTGTTGAACAGTTCATATATGGAAATGAAAAAAAAAAAACATGATCACTTCTGTTTCCTTTTGTGGTTTCATATAGGCTAGGAGAGATCTCAAACTATTTAGCTGAAGATGACCTTGACTTTGAACTCCACCTCCTAAACACTAGGATTACAGGTGCAAACATGGGATTACATTGTGGAAGCAATGGTCATGTCTTGGAACGATTGCTTTCTTCGGAGAACAGGCCGTAGGAGAAATTGTGAAAGTGAGCAAGTTTGGCAAAGGAGGTTGGTGATGAAGGGGAGGAGAATGTCCTGTTCAGAGTATTGGAGTATTGTAGGCGTAGGGGCCTAGGAAAAAGGAGGGGCCATCACAGAGAGGTGGGAAGAAGTGGAAAGAAGGCAGAGCCAATAGTTTGTATATCCCCCCCCCCCCAAAAAAAAAGCAAAAGCAGGGTCATTTGATGAAAATGGCGTGGTGAATTCCAAGTACTGTTAGGAAGAGATTCAAACAGGTTTGGTAGGATTGCGGCACAGCCAAAGATGGGATCAAGTTGCTTACTTCGCCTCTGCTTTCTGAGCTGAAATGGAAGTAACAGTTCCTGCCTCCTGGAGCCATGGGGTTGAGCAAAGCACCGCCTGGGGTTGAGCAGACAGTGAGCTCCCACTCTGAAGTGTTAGATACTTTGTTAAAGCCTTTTTCCTTCCTTTTCTTTTTATTTATTTATTTATGGTGTGTTTTGTGTGTATGTGAGCCCATACATGCTGTGATAATCAGGCTTGGTAGTAGGGACCTTTATCTGTTCAGCCATCTTGCTGTTTCCTATTAGTAATGTTTTTGCAGTTAGAGAAAAGATAGCCAGAAAGCAGCCTAGCAACAGCCAGCCAGCTGTATTTACTAACGGCCGGCCAGTTAGGATTTACTAACCCATGTCTCTTCTCATTGATTTGCCATCTGCTCTCAGGCATATCTTTTTCTCTCTTTAATTCTTGTTTTCTCATTTTTGTGAGGCAGAGGCAGGTGGATCTCTGTGAGTTTGAGGCCAGCCTGCTCTACAGAAGACAGCCAAGGCTACACAGAGAGACCCTATCTTGGAAAAAGAAAAAGGAAATTCTTCATAGACATGCCCAAATTCTCAGGATTTAGTTGATTCCAGACATAGTCAAGTTGACAACCAAGATTAGGCATCACAGAGGACCAGGGTGTGAAGTCAGCCTTGAATACGTAGTGAGACCGTTTCAAAAGACACAGGGGCCTGGAGAAATGGCTCAGCATTGGATAGCACTTGCTGTTCTTAGAGCAGAATTCAGTTCCCAGAATGCATATGACAGCTCACAGCTGTAACTACAGTTCCAGAGAATCTGACACCTAGCCTCTGAGGGTAGCACGTGGTACATGCACGCATGCAGACAAAAGACAGAAAAGAAAAGCTGGGCAGTAGTGGCACATGCCTTTAATCCCAGCACTCAGGAGGCAGAGGCAGATGGATCTTTATGAGTTTGAGGCCAGCCTGGTCTACAGAGCAAGTTCCAGGACAGGCTCCAAAGCTACAGAGAAACCCTGTCTCAAAAAACCAAAAAGAAAAGAAAAAGCCAAGCTGGACATTCTGAGTGATCTGGGGAGAGGTGGCTCTAATTCCTTCAGGACTTCAGATTCAGCCTCATTGTGGCTGACCCCATTGGCTGTATCTGTCTCTTCCAGGTCATCATGAAGAAGCTACGAGCATCTGTCAGGAGTCACAGAAAGCAACCAGCCAACCCCAAGAAAAGGGGAAAATGTGCCCTTAGCAGCAGCCAGGCCAAGCTTTCTGCCCCTGATGGTAAGGAGCTCGGCCCTTGCCAGAGTGTCAAGGGACTGGTTTCACTGGCTGTACAAGAGGACAGATTCAAGCTTGCTGTGTACCGAGGGATTAAGAAGCTAATTCTGACTGCTGCTGTGTAACTTTGGACCAAGCGCTCTGGGTGTTTTCTTAACAGTAGAATGGAACAGTTTCATCTACACATCACTGTCGTGCAACTTTCATGGCATGAAATGAGTTTATAAACCTGAATGAGTTTTGAAAATAGGGAAACACCCTGCATGGGTACCTATTCTGCCTAACTAAAACTATTGAGTTTTCATTTGTAGCCCAGAAAGAGCAAAGACACTGGCAAAACTAAGACCAGAAATTTGGCCAAAGCTACACAGAACTAGAACTCCGATTGTAGCTCTAAAAACTGCGTGAGGGATGTGGGTAGGAGAAGCCCCAAGTGCGAACAGGCTACTACAGGTTGCTATGCCCTGAATCCTTGATGGGCATGTGCAAAAATGATCCCAAAAAAAGACAGCAGGATGGCTCAGTGGGAAGAAGCTTTTGTCACACAAGCCTGATTACCTGAGCTTGATCTTCAGGACCCACGGAAAGGTGGGAGGGGAGAACCGACTCTGAATGCTGCCCTCTGACCTACACATTCACGTCATCCATACACAATAAGAATAAAATGTTTAGCCGGGCGGTGGTGGCGCACGCCTTTAATCCCAGCACTTGGGAGGCAGAGGCAGGCGGATCTCTGTGAGTTCGAGACCAGCCTGGTCTACAAGAGCTAGTTCCAGGACAGGCTCCAAAACCACAGAGAAACCCTGTCTCGAAAAACCAAAAAAAAAAAAAAAAAAAAAAGAATAAAATGTTTAATAGGGAAGAGCCAGAGGTAGTGATCACCCTTGTAACCCCAGTGCTTGGGGAGTTGGAACAGGAGGATTAGGAGTTTAAAGCTAGCCTTGGCTACACAGCAAGTTTGAGGCCAGCCTGGACTGTGAGATCTTGTTGAGACCCTGCTGCTGGAGTGACATCTTAGCTGCCAGGCAGTTTACAGCTGCCCAGAACTCCAGCTCTAGGGAGTCGGATACCTCGGATATATGCGCACTTAAAAATAATTCTTAAAAGGAAAAATGAGAAATGGGAGGCAGTGGCGGGGAGGAGGCAGAAATCTTTAATTAATTAATTAATTAATTTTTTAAAAAAAAGGAAAAATGAGAGGTCTGGGGGGGAAGGGTAATCTGGAGTGTCTTGGTCGTCCTGCAGGCCAGGCCAAGCAGAAGGATGAAGAGTTCCTGCAGACCTCTGTCTGCCCATACCATCTGTTCAGAGACATGACTGATGTCACGACATTCCAAAGGAACTTGCTCAGCTGGTATGACCAAGAGAAGCGGGACCTGCCTTGGAGAAGATGGGTAAGTGAGACAGGGACAGTGCGCCGGGCAGCTGGCTCAGCCTTTCAATTCTAAGTCTTCACCTGTGGTTTCCTTCACAGGTAGAGGAGGAAGCCAACCTGGACAGGCGGGCCTATGCTGGTCAGTACAAAACTGGGCTTCTGTGCCTGCAAGTCCTTAGTTTAGGGACTATGTTTAGGTTTGGGGACTAGGGGCTAGGAGTCAGGGTGAGTTAGCGGTACCTCATGTTAACCCCCTTCCCCAGTATGGGTGTCAGAGGTTATGCTGCAGCAGACCCAGGTTGCCACGGTGATCGACTATTATACACGATGGATGCAGGTGACGCCAGGGAGACGCCAGGGAGGGAGGGGAGAGTCGGCTAGACCCCTAGACTCCGGAAAAGGCTTCTTCTCACACCCTCGACCTTGACCTTATTTCCTCTTGCCCGTTTTGGGTCTACAGAAGTGGCCAACCCTTCAGGACCTGGCCAGTGCTTCCCTGGAGGTGAGCCACCCTTGGGTAGGGAGAATGAAAACAACTGAGGGACCAACCACCAATCTTTGACCTCTGACCTCCACCTACAGGAGGTGAACCAGCTCTGGTCTGGCCTGGGCTACTATTCTCGAGGCCGTCGGCTGCAGGAGGGAGCTAGGAAGGTAAATGGGTGGTGCACTGACTAGGAGGCCAGCAGCCTCAGGTGTCTTCACACTGAACCTTCCTACTCCAACCAGGTGGTAGAGGAGCTAGGCGGTCATGTGCCACGGACAGCAGAGACCCTGCAGCAGCTCCTTCCTGGTGTGGGGCGCTACACAGCTGGAGCCATTGCTTCCATTGCCTTTGGCCAGGTAAACCTATATGCCACCCATATTCAGTGTGTACACCCTCCTTCCTCCAAGTCCAGTCTGACTCCCAGGCTCCTCTGTGCCAGGTAACTGGTGTGGTGGATGGGAATGTCTTACGGGTGCTGTGCCGAGTCCGCGCCATTGGTGCTGATCCCAGTAGCTCCGTTGTCTCTGGTCATCTCTGGTAAGAAGCTGGGATGATGGAAACCAGGAAGGGTCTGGCCAGAGCGTTTTTGCTTGCAGTAGTGTGCCTTACTTTTAGGAGCCTAGCCCATCAACTCGTGGATCCAGCCCGGCCTGGGGACTTCAATCAAGCAGCCATGGAGCTGGGGGCCACAGTGTGTACCCCACAGCACCCTCTCTGCAGCCAGTGCCCTGTGCAGAGCCTATGCCAGGCGTACCAGAGGGTAAGCCTTGTAAGGACGAATTAGGGTGACCTAGTGAATGACCTTTGCCCTATGACACCCTCCTCTATGTCTCTCAGGTGGAGCGGGAAAAGCTCTCTGCCTTGCCAGGCAGTCCTGACGTAGAGGAGTGTGGTAAGCGCCAGCCCTAACCCCAGCTTGCCTCTCCTGGCCCTGTTAGGGAGCTGCCTTTTCAAGTCTGAGTAAGATTCTGCAGTGGGGTTAAGCCTCCCCCTGGGCTTGACACTAAGGCCACTTGGCCTGAGCAGAGTTTGGAATCTTTGTGTGCAGCTCTCAAGACTAGCCAGTGCCAGCTTTGCCTGCCTCCCACAAAACCCTGGGACCCCTCTCTGGGAGTGGCCAACTTTCCTCGCAAGGCCAGCCGCAAGCCTCCCAGGGAGGAGCACTCTGCCACTTGTGTTGTGGAACAGCCCAGGACCAGCGGGAGTCCCCTCATTCTGCTGGTGCAGAGGCCTCACTCAGGTGCCTGACTGTGGGGGCTGGAGGTCAGTGTCACAAGCAGCCGAGGAACAAAGGGGCAGTGCAAGACGCTGACCCCTTATCTGGCTGCCATCAGGTCTGCTGGCTGGACTCTGGGAGTTTCCATCTGTCACCCTGGAGCCCTCAGGCCAGCATCAGTACAAACCCCTTCTGCAGGAAGTGCAGAGCTGGTCCGGACCCCTCCCCGCCACTCGTCCCCAGCACCTGGGAGAGGTAGGTTAGCAGAGGTGCCAGGATTGAGCACTTCCATCCATGTTAACATTCACAGACCCGGCTCCATCTCTTCCCTCCCCAGGTGATCCACGTCTTCTCTCACATCAAACTGACATATCAAGTATATAGTCTGTCCCTAGACGGACAGACCCCAGCGACCCCTGCACCCCCTGGTGCTCGATGGTTGACTTGGGAGGAATTCCACAATGCAGCTGTTTCCACTGCCATGAAAAAGGTACTTTTGTGTCTTGTTTGTCTCTTACATGAACTTATTGCTGTATAAATGAAAAAAGAAATGTATATTTTAAATAAAATTGCTGGGGCTCTCCATAGGCCGGAGTGGAACTCAGGCTATTGGTTCTTTTGGAGAAGGTGCCAGTCCTGTTTTATTCCCCCCCCCCCCCACCTCCTTCTTGGCTAGGTATTCCGCATGTATGAAGACCATCGGCGAGGCACCTGCAAGGTGAGTCTCAGAGGCTCATCCTCTTATCTTCCCCAGGCCTGCCTCTGGGGCTCTTAGAAGTCATGTATTGACGTCCATTGTGAACTAGGGACTGATGGTACAGTGAGACCACAGGGTAGGAGGACAAGAACAAATTGATGTGGTCTCTGGTGTCATGGGGATGTATAGTATTTGCTCTGGGTTCCGTGGGATCTGAGGTAGGGAGCCATCTGTGAGACAAGGATCACAAAAAGCTGCTTACTGAAAATAATTGCTAATTTGGGTCCTCGAAAAAGATTTGTTTTTATTATTTTTAACTATGTGTATGTATCTATGTGTAGGTATATGTACACTGAGTGTAGTACCCATAGAGGCCAGAAGAGGGCATTAGATCCCCTGGATTTGATGTTATAGGTGCTTGTGAACCATGTAACATAAATACTGGGTTCCTGACTCAGGTCCTCTGCAAGGGCAGTACTCTTAACCACTGAGCGATGCCTCCACCCCTTGCCCCCAGACAGTTTCATTTAGTGTAGGTTGGCTTCACCACACTGTGCAAGGGATTATAGGCATGCACCTATCCAGCACTGGGACACAAACCTAAGGGCTTTGTGCACGTTAGACAATCCTTCTATCAACTGAGCCATGTCCCCAGCCCCAGCTTTGCATCTAGCAAGATTTTTTTGGCACCTTTTGGGGAGGTGGAAAATCCTACAGCATTATAGGCTAGATTAGTATAGGGCAGGCAGAAGATTCCCTGACGTGTACTTATTACTTCCCACCTTGGATTTTCTACAGGGTTCTAAAAGGTCCCACGTGTCTACTCCATCAAGCCGGAAAAAACCCAGCGGGGGGCAGCAAATCCTGGATAGTTTCTTTCAGCCTCATATTCCCACAGACACACCCAACAGTACGACCCAGTGATACCTCTGGGAGGCCCACCCCAAATCCAGTCTAATAAAATGCTTATTTCCGTAGTCCTTTTGGAGAACGTTCTACACTTTCTCTAGTCCCTTCACTTACTTTTGCGAGGCTCAGAAAATGGTCAAGTCAGCTTGGTTCTGACTTCCTCTGGATGCATTCTGATCTGAGTATTCTTCCCTGGCAGAGTCAGGGCAGCTGCAGGGAGCACCTGTCCGTAGCTGACATCTAATGCTTCCATTCTGGGTCTCAGGTAAGCTCTGATTGGAGCGTCATCTTAGAGCAGGTGGTTGGGCTAATCCTGACCTAGTCTGCACCTGCAGCTGTTTCTCTCCCTGGGGAGGTCGGCACAGAGGAGGGTTTGTATTAAATTCTTCTTCAAAATCATTTATTCAGGGCCCATTTCACAAGTAATGAAACTTCAGAAAGCACATGGGTTAATAATCCCAAGACCTTCAGGGGATGGGGAAGAAATGCAGAGACGACACAAAGGCAGTTCAGAGTCTTGTGTCTCACGACCTCATTACTTTATTACCTAGAGGTGTCAGACATTTTAAGTCCCAACTCTTTGGAGTCTGTTGAGAGACTAGAATTGGCGGGTACTGGTTGGAATGAAGACCTGCACCTGGCCCTGAAGGGAAGGATGGGCTTTATCTGGGGTGTGGTCCTGTGAGGCGCGTCAGCTCCAGCAGGCCTATGCTGGACTCCTTCCTCAGAGCACCTAGGACAGGTGGCGACTCCCAGATCTAGCGGGCGTTAGGCTCCCTGAGCCCTCGCAGCTTCCTCTTGCACCGACTGCCATAGTGCCCGGATGTTGTTCTGGCCAAAGCCTGTGGCCCCCTGTCTCTGAATCAGCTCCAGAAAGAAGGTGTCCTCAGCGAAGAGGGACTTGGTAAAGACCTGAAGCAAAAATGTGTCTTTAGCGCCATCTAGCAGAATTCCCTGCCGTCCTAGAAGGCTAGGCTTGTGCCCTGCAGCTATGATTTGTTCCTCTTTGCCAGGCTGCTGATAGTAAGTTTCAGGAGGGGTTAGGAACCGGCCTCCTGCCTTCGCCATCCCCTCAGAAGCTTCCATGATGTTGGGAGTGTACAGTCCTACATGCTGCAGGCCTGGCCCCCCGTGCCGGGCTAGAAATTGCTCTACCTGGTCCTGTTTGTTGGGGAGTCCCGGTAGGGACTCCGCCAGCACGAGGGTGGGAACCGTGCTGTCAGGCGGGATCTGCAGGGCAGTAAGCCTTAGTCCCCCTCGCCCAGACCCTGCAGCCACCTTGAGGCCCTGCTCCGGATCCTCACCTGGGCTCAGCGGCAAGTGACGAAACCCTAGGCAGTCGTGGAACCACCGCCTAAGAGTAGGGGAGCTGCCAGAGGTGCAGGCCAAGGTCAAGTGGTCCACGTGGCTGACCCAGCCAGGGCCAGACGTGCAAGGCAGCGGTGTGAATCCAGGCAGGAAGGATCCGCGATAGCCAGCACGTTGCAGCAACGTAAAGCTAAGGTTACCAGCCGGAGAGCTGACCACTGTGTAGATGGCTGTGCCCTGTGCATCCCTCACGCTAGTGGGTGGTACCGGCACCACGCAGCCCCGTGCCGCCAGCGTCCGGGCGGCGGCGCCCACATCTTCCACGTCGAAGCACAGGTTCGTGGCGCTGGGCATCGAGTGGTGCGGATCCAGGCCGTACAGTGGCTTCCCCGGCCCCGAGCCCTCGTTCACTAGAAAGACTGCGTCTCCGCTGCGCAGGGCCAGCTGTCTCCAGCCGCCAGCTTCCCGCACCGCCAGGGGCTGGAAGCCGAAGAGGCGGTGTAGATCCTTCGCTAGGGGCTGTCCAGCTGGCACATGGAAAGCGACATGGCACAGACGGCGGGCGTGCGCAGCCATGGCGAGTCCAATACCCCGGCTCTGTCCTTCTGGGGAGGCTCACTTGTTTCGAACCCCAAAACTCTTGGTCCCAGACTAGTTGTTGGAAGCTGGTGGAGCCCAGGTCTGCCCGAAGAGCGCGTTCCTTGGTCTTTTCTGGGCAGAGGTCACAGTCAGACCTTGGGGGATTGATCCTCTCTGCAGCGCAACCTCAACCAGAAGCCGGCTAAGGACCTCAGGCTCTGGGGGTAAAATGTTTGAGAACCACGCGGACGCTGAGCGGGGCGGGAGATCGGGCTGGAGACTCCGCCTTTGACACGCCCTCTCACCCAGAACGGGTCTCCTCGGGTACTGCCCGGACGAAGGGCAGTTCCATCCCAGGGCTTTGGACCAGGTCACACCCTTGGCACTGAGCCACCCCTTCCCGGGCTCGGGAAGTCACAATAGCCACCTTCACTCAGTGCCAGGCGCAGTCTTCTCACGACCTCAGAAGTGGGGGTGGGGGAGGAGCCTGAATCCTCCCTCCACAAGCACGGGATTTCTTAGTCTGGTGCTTTTTCTTTACTCAGGAGTCTGTCTTCAAGTCCTAGTGCTCCATTCATGTCTTATTTTCTTAATATTAAACTACTTAAAGATATATATTTTTTCAATCTCCAAAACGGAGCGGAGAAATAGGTAAAAGAGAAAACATTTACATATCTTTCCAACCATCCAGGCAATTTCTACTGCCTCTTCAAGTCTATTTCTGCAACTAATTGAGACTTGGAGGTAGGAAAAAGGAAATCCTTTTTGTTTGTTTGATTGTTGTTCCTGTGAGGAACTACTGCTCACCACCTTAACAGAACTCCAGCCACAACTCAGGCCTTCCTAAGGATCTGAGCCAGGGCCCCCAAGATGAGTGAAGTCACTAGGATGAAGAAGCCTGTGGGGTTTCAGCCAGAAGGGCCTTGAGCTAAGGTTAGAGAAGGACACGAAAGGGCCGACTGCAAGAAGAAAACCTTAGAGAAGACGCTCCATTGGCCTGGCCGGAAACTCCGTTGTGAGTCAGAAGGCTTCTGAGGGGACCTGACTTAGACTAGCAGGCGTGGCTGGGTTTTCAGGGTTGCAAGTAGGAGGGCAGGGCAGGACCTCTTTTGCTGACCAGTGATCAGGAGAACATGGATTCCAGAGTTAAGGAGACCTGGCTTAGAAATCTAGCTCTAATAGTCATGACTTTGGTCATGTTGCTTACTTTGTCTCTTCCTTATCTGCAAAAATGGGATTCCCCTGTCCTGTTGCTGAGGATCAATACTCATGGTCTCACAATACTAGGCAAGAACGCTCACTCAGATGGCTGTGGTTAAAGGAGACAGTGTGTGTGTTCAATCAATTGTAGCTGTGGCTGTAGCTTTGTTTTATTCTCATGACACAGTGTCAAGTGGTACCTCCCAAGACGGTATTGTGTGACCTCTTTGGAGAGGTGGGGGTGGGCAGAGACTGTACTAGCTTGGGTCAAAGGTAAGTCAAGGAGCTCTGATAATGACCCAGAACAAGCTGTGACTCCCTTCGGGGAGTCTTGTAGAATTAATTCATGATGACTCCCCCCAACACCCCCATATTAGGGATTGAACTCAGGGCCTTGTAAATGCTAGGCAAATATTCTTATCATTGAGCTACATCCTAGCCCCTATCCTTTCTTCTCTCATATCCCCTTGGACCTCAGCTTCATTCCCTAAGATTTCTAAGCTTGAAGCACTGTGGAAAGTGTAAGGACTGCCTTGGAAAAAGTGTGTAGTTACGGCTAAGTGTGCCCTTAATTAAGGCCCAGTCTTTCCACCTTAGATTTGTTTTCCCACAATCCTTTACACTGAGCAGGATGCCAGTTACCTGACTCGTGCTGCCTAAACCACAGCAGTAGATGGAAGACTAGCCAGTGGAACACTAGAGGCCTCACCTGCTCTCCCACCAGAAAGGAAATGTCCTTATTACTAGATCCTAGATTGGGCTGGCTTTCTCAGGCCTGTGCAGCTGAGGAACCTAGCAAGAGGCCTGGGCTTTAACCCCTGACTGTGTAGGGCCTGGACTGAGGTGGCTTTGTCCTGGCTAGTAGTGGATTTAGGTCAGACTGCACAACCAAGACAAGAGGGTCACAAAAAGACTGTAGCCTCCAAGGCAACACAGATTAGAACCACTCCTAGAGCACTCAGGAAAGCCCTGGTTTCGGTGGAATGTGAGGGAGGAGACCTGGAAATACGGCTCTCTGAATGCTAGAGCAAAAACAGGCTGCCCTGAGTGTGTTTAAAGTCAGGGCTTTACAATCCATACCCTCCAAGTCTTCGACCCAGTCCCACAAGTTTGCTTTCAAGGGTACACCGCGAGTACACCACAGTTCAGCAAAATCACTTAGTTTCCATAAGCCTTGCAGTTCCCTCCTTTTCAGGGAAAAGCATCGACACTGTAATGAACTGGGTTTTCAGAGGGGTGAAGGTAGAGGTGGCTGCAGTGTTGGTCCCCTGTGATGTCGGTGTCCAGAACATCATCCACTCAGGGTTCCGGAGCTTGCTTCTCAGCTTGACGACTGCCCTCCTGCGTGGCTACCTGTGCTGGGTGTGCTAGAGTCTGCAAGACGGAAGCGAAACGGAGGAACCCACAGGAAAGGGAGCCCGCAGGCAGGAGAGCAAGGTCATGGCACAGCGGTAGCTTCCTGCCACTCCCGCCTTGTGTCGGCAGGTGAGGTAGGGGTGATCTTGGGCTGTGGAAAGTTGAGGTGTCCAAGTCGTAGAACAGCGCCCCTCCGGCAGGTGTCGACTCCAAACAGCGCTAGCTCACTCGGCGGGCTAGGAAATCCTAGCTCTCCTGGCTCGTCCTACCCGGTTCCTGGTTCCGGACAGACCAACGGCCTCGAATGGCCTCTCACCCCTCCCCGGATCCGCCCCGCTTTGCCCCCTGGGCCACCCAGCAGCTCACTTCTTTAAGGATCCGCCGCAGTCAAGTCTTTCCTGGTCCTGCTCTGTGCTCTTTTACCATTCCCTTCCGCCGGAAGCTGCTCCGAAAGCTCCCTCATGTTTGGATCCGCCTCCGTTTCTCCTCACTTGACTGCTTTGGGTTGGCCCAGAAAAACCTCACAGAGAAGGTGACCTTAATTTTTTTCGAGTTGTAGAATATACATATTTACTAACAAATTAAAACAACAACAATAACAAAACGTACGGTCTCCTGGTAGCCCAGGCTGGCCTCTAACACGTTTTATAACTGAGATGACTTTAAACTGAAGATCCCCCTGCCTCCAGAGTGCGGGGATTATAGGTGTGCACCCGGCCTGGTTATGAAATGCTAGGGATGGAACCTAGGACTTGATACGTGCTAGGCAGGCATGCCACCAACTGAGCTACATCCCCAGCTCCCAGCTTAACTTTTAAAGTACAGAGCTCTGTGTAGCAAGCACATTCACTTCAAGCCAGGGGAGAGGCTGCAGGACAGGCCCCTAAGTGAAAGGAGCTAGTTGGGAGGGCAGGAGGGAGGGAGGAAAGAGAAAAAGGCAGGCAGGGACCTGGTAGTGGGGGTGGGGATATCTCCAAGATAAAGGGCATCCCTGGCATAGTAGTAGTGAAGTAGTGAAGACCCCCCCCTTTGTCTCACCCAATTAACATGTTCAATTAAAATTAAACCCCTCATCCTAACACAGGGCTTCTCCCTTTTCTTTCTTTCCTTTTCCTTCTCCTCCTCCTCCTCCTCCTCCTTCTCGTCCTTCTCCTCCTCCTCCTTTTTTTTTTTTTTTTTTTTTTTTTTGAGACAGGGTTTCTCTGTAGCTTTGGAGCCTGTCCTGGAATTCTCTCTCTGTAGACAAGGCTGGCCTCTAACTCACAGAGATCTGCCTTTATCTGCCTCCCAAGTGCTGGGGTTAAAGGCGTGCACCACCATCGCCGGCTTCCCCTTTTTCCTTTATATACAGCCATTTTCCTATGTGCCACGTCTGTCTCCTTTCTATCTAGAGGCATCCTTTGTCCTGCCACAAATACCCCTGTTCCCTTTCCTTTGTTCCCCTCCCCTTCTTCCTCAGCCTTTATCTTCTGTCCTTGTATCTTAACCCCTGCTCTCTGTCCCTCTAGGGCGAACAAATCCATGTGCTGAGAACTTGGTCTTGGGGGTTCTGAACTGATTCTTTTTCCTTTCACAGAAATGGTGGCCTCCAGAACTGAGGTGGTGATGGGGAGTTGGGATGTTAGGAGTACAAAGTTTCAGCTGGGGTGGTAGTGCTGGTCATGCTTGAACAGTATCTGTTGAGTCTTTGAAACAGGGTCTCACTCTAGAGCCCAGGCTGACCTCAGCCTCCCAACACTAGTCACAGATACAGGGTCTCGCGCAGCTCTGGTTGGTCTTGAGCTGTGTATCTGAGTAACCTGAACTCCTGCTCCTCCTGCCTCTGCACCGTGCTGAGATCACGGGTGTACAGCATGCTTAGTCCCTTTGCCTGCTCTTAAAAATCCAAGCTGTGTCCCCAGATGATGTCTCCTTCCTCACATTATTCAACTGCTTATTTGCTTCCCTGGCATGAATGTCCCACAGGTCCCTCAAATCCTCCAGACCCAACACTGTTCTCCGTCTTCTTGGTAGCTGTCCTAGCCAGAGACCTGCAGGGTTCCGGATCCCCTCCTAATACCTCAGTCCCCACCTCCGTGTCCCTTATCCCTGCCCATTCTGTTTCTGTAACTCCTCTGAAGTCCTACAATCTTTCCTTTTCTCTTCCATCTCCACTATTTGGAATAATCTGGACAACACAATAACCTTTAATTGCCTTCCTGAACTTGAGTTTGTCCCTGAGCAAGAACTGAGAAGCGAATGAGGTCTAGTTAATTTACTGTCCCGATTAAAAGTCTCCAGGGATTTCTGACTGTTCTTAGGCTCAAGACAGAAATATTCCTTGTGGGGCTGGAAAGGTGGCTCAGAGGTTAAGAGCACTGGCTGCTCTTCCAGAGGTCCTGGGTTCAATTCCCAGCAACCACATGGTGGCTCACAACCATCTGTAATAAGATCTGGTGTCCTCTTCTGTACTGCAGGATACATGCAAGAAGAACCCTGTATACATAATAAATATCTTTTTTAAAAAAAGAAAAGAAATATTCCCTGTGGCAGATTAGGGCCTGACAAACTCTCCTGCCTTTTTTTTTTTTAAATAGATCCCCCTTGAGTCGTTATAAAAAGCCAGCTTCATCAACCTTTAAATTAGATTTATTTACTTTGTGTATGAAGTATCTGTGTACTTTTGAGTCTGTTCATCTCACGTTGCATGTGTGGAGGTCAACGGAATATCTAGGGGAGTTTGTTCTCTCCTTCACCATGTGAGTCTGGGCTTCAAACTCAGCTCCTCAGACTTGGTGGCAGGCCCCCTTACCTGCTGAGCCTGCTCTTACCAGCCCACTCCATCTTGGTTTTTGTTATTAATATCCTTTTTCTTCATAATGTAATTAATTCCCGGGAACTTTATGCTCTTTCCACCCCAAGATCTTGTTTTTGCTGTTTTTTCCTGCATGGAATGCCTTCTCAGGTCCTTTAGACTTTTGCATAGTGTCTAGCCTAAGTCTTGGCAGTAAATATTTATGAATGAACCAACTAAGCATTGGAAACCAAATAGGTCTTCCAATGCTGCAGTTCTTCAAATTACCGCTAGGTGTCACCATTGGTTTCATTTTAACCAGCTCTTGCCCTGGTGTTCAGGAGAGGCCAACCGGACCCTCCTGGCCAATCTACCCAACAAGCTGGGCCAGGAGATGAGTAGCCCAGATTCTTCTAGGTTTGAAATCTCCATTAGCCTTGGAAAAGCTGCCCTGATAGGGTGGTGACCAACCATCCTAGATTCTCCAGGACTGAAGTTTAGACACTTCAAGGAACACTGAGTGCTAAACCCAGAGGGCGATCCCAACCCTTTTTTTTTTTTTTTTTTTGGTTTTTCAAGACAGGGTTTCTCTGGAGCCTGTTCTGGAACTCACTCTGTAGACCAGGCTGGCCTTGAACTCATCCACCTGCCTGTGCCTGTGGAGTGCTTGCACCACCTCCCGGGTGGTTTTGGTTTTTTGTTGGTTTTTGTCTTAAGGAGGCAGGATCTCAGTCTCACAATGGCTGCACTCACTCAGGGTAGCCCGAAACCCAGGAGGCTGGCCCAGAACTCACAGCACCAATCCCTCCTGAGTTGTTAGGATTACAGGCATGTGTCACCATGCCAGGCCATGATCTTTAATCTCAGCACTGCGGAGGCAGAGGCAGGTGGATTTCTGTGAGTTTGAGAGCAGTCTGGTCTACATAGTGAGTTATAGTTAGCCAGGGCTATTTAGTGAAAGCCGGTCTCAAAACAGACAATCTAACATAAATGTGAAGAAATGGTCATGACAACACCTTACCCAGAGTTTGATTTCATCAAATGGCTGCAGCATGAGCATGGCCAGACTCTTCTTCTTCCCAGAGATATCGTAAAATTGATTTATTCATTTCAAATTTTTATTTAGCTGGGAGGTGGTGGTACACTCCTTTAATCCCAGCACTCAGGAGACAGAGGCCAGCCTGGTCTACAAAGTGAGTTCCAGGACAGCTAGGACTGTTACACAAAAAACCCTGTATCGAAAAGATCAAAATAAATAAATAAATAAATAAAGTTATTTCTTTTATTATGATTATTAGTGTGTGTGTGTGTGTGTGTGTGTGTGTGTGTGTGTGTAGAGGTTAGAGGAAAACCTTTAGGGGTGACTTCTCTACTCTCACCATGGGCTCTGTGGGTTAAACTCAGGTCTTCTGCCTTACACGGCAACACTTTCACCGACTGAGCCATCTGGATGGCTTGTTAAGTTGAGGTTCATTTTGGTGTCAAATTGAGCTCTCTGAGTACTAAACAAGACTTGGTTGTGTCTAGATTGAGTTCTGACTTAAATGGACCATGCTCAGAGCCAGGAATCCACTCCACAGGAGGTATAATAAGTCCAATTCTGGATTTCTTCATGTTAAACAAAGTTCAAACACCCCTCAACATCTTATTTCTGTTTTGGCTTTTGAGGCAGGGTCTGTCTATGTAGCCCTGGCTGTCCTGAAACTCATTGTATAGACCAGGCTGATTTTGAACTCATAGAGATCTGCCTCCCTCTGCTTCCCAAGTGCTGGGATTAAAGGTGTGTGCTTCCATGCCCAACATTGCCCTGGCTTCTTTGATGACAGACTACGGTGTGGAAGTGTAAGCCGAATAAACCCTTTCCTCCCTGGGATACTTCTTGTCATGGTGCTTTATCACAGCAATAGAAAGCCTAAGAGAGTGACCTTGAGGAATTAATTTAGCCTCAAAATATTAATTTTTTTCAAGTTGATGGAGCTAATGTTTATGTTAGAAGTTTGTTCTGAGGTCCAGATTGGCTGAGCAATGTATGTAAAGCCATAAACGTTTGCTGAGCCATTGTGTGGCCGACCACGGTTAAGTTGCTTTGTAAGCATTGTGTGAGTGCACATGACCCTGTGCGTGGTGTGCCGCTTTCATTGTCTGTGCTCTGAGGATGCAAAGGCTGAGACTAGAGAGCTTTAGTAACTTGTCCACAGTCTCAGCGCTGCTAAATGCTTGGGATGGGGTTTTAGACCTGGGCAGTTAGGCCCCAGTTAGTTCCCAAGCGCCAGCCTACTAAGCCAGGGTGCCATATGGAGCAGGGCTGAATAATGAATAGCTATTATGCTCATTGTAATTTAGCCTTAAGTGCTTTTTATATCCATGGTGCTAAGTGTTAATTATTAGTGTATTTGGATGCAACATTTATCCTTTTTGTTCCTATTTTTTTCCACAGCCATGGCAACAAAGGGCCCTGTACTCTCTATAGCAGAGCTCCCTGCCTTTGTCCGATCCAGCCCGGTGCATCGGTCTCTGCAAACAACAAAAGACGTGGCCACCCGGCTGGCTTCCCTGCCCCCACCAGAGCACTACCCAAGACT